CGGTCATTTCCATGATAGCAGGTGTGTAAACACCCTTGGCTGGGCTGCGTCCTCATGGCTGTGAGGTGGGCTAGTACACAGACAGACACACACACACGTCCTGTCGGATGTCAGTAGACTGGAGGAATATTACCTAACGGACGTGCGATGAGATTAAACACAAACAGCGAGCTGTACGGTGCGGTGCAGCCACGCTTCCTCTGCTCCCACGCCATGCCTCACTGGCTGACAGGCCTGATGGGAGGGGACTATCTTCTTCTATAGACCTTCTGATCAGACCTGAACATGCAGCCAGACTTCACCATACAACACCTCTGGTTCTCCTTTCCCTGGGAGAATGCAGCAGTTGGACCCAAACAATTGTTACACGTTCAATAGTGAAATAGTTCGGATCTTCTAACAGGTGAAACAAGAACGTTTTGCGTGGGTGATTGGGCTGCAGGACGAGTCGATAAGCCGGTGACCAGTGCGCCAGTGTTATATCGGCATGCCAGCCGACTTGAAGTGCTTCCAACTAGGTTGTGTCGCTGGCGGTAGCTAACGTGGAAAAAAATGTTTCAAGTAGGCTGGCAGCCTACACAAGAAAGTACTGATATTGATAATCATCTACAGTCGTGGTCAAAAGTTTTGAGAATGACACAAATATTAATTTTCACAAAGTCTGCTGCCTCAGTTTTTATGATGGCAATTTGCATATACTCCAGAATGTTATGAAGAGTGATCAGAAGAATTGCAATTAATTGCAAAGTCCCTCTTTGCCATGAAAATGAACTTAATCCCCAAAAAAACATGTCTACTGCATTTCAGCCCTGCCACAAAAGGACCAGCTGACATCATGTCAGTGATTCTCTCATTAACACAGGTGAGAGTGTTGACGAGGAAAAGGCTGGAGATCACTCTGTCATGCTGATTGAGTTAGAATAACAGACTGGAAGCTTTAAAATGAGGGTGGTGCTTGAAATCATTGTTCTTCCTCTGTTAACCATGGTTACCTGCAAGGAAACACGTGCCGTCATCATTTCTTTGCACAAAAAGGGCTTCACAGGCAAGGATATTGCTGCTAGTAAGATTGCACCTTAATCAATCATTTATCGGATCATCAAGAACTTCAAGGAGAGAGGTTCAATTGTTGTGAAGAAGGCTTCAGGTCGCCCAAGAAAGTCCAGCAAGCGCCAGGACTGTCTCCTAAAGTTGATTCAGCTGTGGGATCGGGGCACCACCAGTGCAGAGCTTGCTCAGGAATGGCAGCAGGCAGGTGTGAGTGCATCTGCACGCACAGTGAGGCGAAGACTTTTGGAGGATGGCCTGGTGTCAAGAAGGGCAGCGAGGAAGCCACTTCTCTCCAGGAAAAACATCAGGGACAGACTGATATTCTGCAAAAGGTACAGGGATTGGACTGCTGAGGACTGGGGTAAAGTCATTTTCTCTGATGAATCCCCTTTCCGATTGTTTGGGGCATCTGGAAAAAAGCTTGTCCGGAGAAGACAAGGTGAGCGCTACCATCAGTCCTGTGTCATGCCAACAGTAAAGCATCCTGAGACCATTCATGTGTGGGGTTGCTTCTCAGCCAAGGGAGTGGGCTCACTCACAATTTTGCCTAAGAACACAGCCATGAATAAAGAATGGTACCAACACATCCTCCGAGAGCAACTTCTCCCAACCATCCAAGAACAGTTTGGTGACGAACAATGCCTTTTCCAGCATGATGGAGCACCTTGCCATAAGGCAAAAGTGATAACTAAGTGGCTTGGGGAACAAAACATCGAAATTTTGGCTCCATGGCCAGGAAACTCCCCAGACCTTAATCCCATTGAGAACTTGTGGTCAATCCTCAAGAGGCGGGTGGACAAACAAAAACCCACAAATTCTGACAAACTCCAAGCATTGATTATGCAAAAATGGGCTGCCATCAGTCAGGATGTGGCCCAGAAGTTAATTGACAGCATGCCAGGGCAGATTGCAGAGGTCTTGAAAAAGAAGGGTCAACACTGCAAATATTGACTCTTTGCATAAACGTAATGTAATTGTCAATAAAAGCCTTTGACACGTATGTAATGATTGTAATTATACTTCAGTATACCATAGTAACATCTGACAAAAATATATAAAAACACTGAAGCAGCAAACTTTGTGAAGACCTATACTTGTGTCATTCTCAAAACTTTTGACAATGACTGTAGATGTCATCTTGATACATAGCCTACATAAAGTCTACTACTCAATGGGGAGGGCATGAACGGCAACAACCGGACACAATGCCCTTCGCTCCTGCTTGACAAGCATTACTGTCCAGCAACGGTGCGCGAAGTAGCTACAGTACCTAGTAGCCACTGTCAGGGTGATAGTCACAGTAAGCACAAGCGTACAACGCATGAAGCAACAATACACGCATCATAAATACTTTTAATAAAAAATAAACAATCATCAGTTTTATAACTGAAAATGTACAATTATTTGTGTAAAACTAACAGTGCAATAATACTCAGACTGGCTAAAAAAAAGTACAAACTCTCTTCTATGATTTCATGGCGGTCCGCAAACAAACGTTTAAGGTGCATGCCGCCACCTACTGTGCTGGAGTGTGCAATCAATCATGGGCTGCCTAATTCTGTACTACTAAGAAAAGAAAACGATTTTTTTTTTTTTTTTTTTACAACCAAGTAATAAATCCCTACTAACTTCTACCCCCCATGCCATCGGGACCCCAGTGATGACTCCCCTCAACCTAGCATAAGCACCAGGAACATGGCTTTTAATCTTCTTCCCATTAAGCTTTTCCATTTGCAGAATCTTCCCTTGCTGAGCCTGGCAACAACAAAATATTAACAATCTTCCATTTCCAATGAACCGGGCTAATTTGACTTCACCCATCTCTTTCTATACAGCACCGCTCAATCAAAACCGTTTAACCTATAGCAGAGTGCTGTCGACACACCCACTCCTTTCCACACGCCCACTACTTTTCTTTCGACACACCCACTCGCCCATATTGGGATGCAGCTACCCCCTTCCCATCAGAAAGGCAATAGCTAGAGAGCTGGGGCCTCATTTATAACCGTTGCGTAAATGTTACACAAAATGTATGCGTGTGCCATTTCTGAAAAGTGAACAAATATTGAGATTTATAAACTTGGCGCACGCCATATTTACGCATGTTTCCCGTTAGAAATCAGACCTGTCATTAAACTGTGCACTCGGAACAGCACTAAAACTCTGCCTGGAAAACGCCTCCATTCACCTTTTATGGTGACAATAACGCCCTTTATATGCTGTATAGTTTATCATTTGGAACGATTGGCATTAGGCCACAGCATGCAAAAGACTGATTGTTGTTCACAGTACCGATTTTAGCATGTAAATCTTGGTGGGGCAAACTCCCCCAATTATTTTTAGATGCATGCCAGCAAAGCCACTACACAACACAAAACAACACAACATTAAAAAATACATTAATTGCATGGCGCATGTGACAAATCCAATTTGATTTGACTATAACGGTGACAATTCAGAACATGGGTCGTTCTTACAGTATTCTCCATGTACACCAAGTCAGAACCACATGATAAATAAAGGGGGCATAAAAGCAGACAATGAAAGCTCTTACAATATTTGATCCTTTCATTTCTCTAAAACAGGCTATAGGCTACATGTGCACCACCAAATCAGAACAGTAGGCTAAATTATGAGGGGGAAAGGGACCAAATTATTAGGGTGAGGCACATGGGCTACTAACAGCTTACTACACAACATACACTTAGTATTACTTTCTTAGCTACAGTATACATATCTCCCTGGCATATTACTATTATGATATTTCAAAACTTGAAATACATATAGCCTATCTATTTACTAGGCTACTAGGTTCAATTAAATCAGAGCTGGGCATAGTAATTTGTTGTATCGCTCCTTCATGAATATGAACCCATCACGTCCAGAAAAGGTAAGGATTATATTCTGCAATGGTTATGAAAAAAAAAAAAAAAGGAAAAAGATTCCTATGTCTAACTATTTTAGATTCTAAAAATAAAACACAGATTTTTGCTCTTCTCACTAAAGGCAAATGGTTGCATTCTTGTTCATGTTTTCCTTTTGTTTTTTTATGAATAAGCTTTTCATCACATCCCCCATTTGCACAAAATACTTATATGCCAGTTTACGATACAACATTTCAACCACTAGCAGATGTGCGTAGCATGGTCTAAAGTTTGCGGGGAGGTGTGCACATTCTCACATGAAGTACATTTTTTATAAATGCCAACTTTTGCATGAAAACTGGTGCATGCACAATTTAGGGTTTATTTTGTATGTACGCACGGTTTATAAATAAGGACCCTGAGTCCTATCTGTGTAGCAATATTGTGATGAGTCTTAATTTAAATCTTAAAAATATACACTGAGTGTACAAAACATTAAGAACACCTCCCCCTTTTGCCCTCAGAACAGCCTCAATTCGTTGGGGCATGGACTCTAAGGTGTCGAAAGCGTTCCACAGGGATGCTGGCACCAATGCTTCCCACAGTTGTGTCAAGTTGGCTGGATGTCCTTTGGGTGGTGGACCATTCTTGATACACACGGGAAACTGTTGAGCTTGAAAAACCCAGCAGTGTCGCAGTTCATGACACAAACAGGTGCGCCTGGCACCTACTACCATACTCCGTTCAAAGGCACTTAAATATTTTGTCTTGCCCATTCACCCTCTGAATGGCACCCATACACAGTCCATGTCTCAATTGTCTAAAGGCTTAAAAATCCTTCTTTAACCGGTCTCCTACCCTTCATCTATACTGATTGAAGTGGATTTAACAAGTGACATCAATAAGGGATCATAGCTTTCACCTGGATTCACTTGGTCAGTCTGTCATGGAAAGAGGTGTTCATAATGTTTTGTAAACTCAGTGTATGTGGAGATGTTATGAACCAAGAGGTCTGGACAGCAGGGTTTGTCCTATTTTAATCTCATTTTCATCTTATTTACTGAAAGAGGGGGAGGGAGAGAGAAGTAGAATAGAAGATGTATATTCTTTATTTAGAAAACATAAGGATTTTCAATGCATAGCAGTGAGTGTTCCATTACGTTACCGAGTGTTACTGCCTGACTACCAGACCGAGACACACACTTCCCAAAGAGAACAAACACCTTTCCTAGAGTGAATATTTACAGAAATATACATCCTGATTTGCACACACACTAGAAGACACACATTTGCACTCCAAACTCCATTTAACATATCTAACATTTCAAAATCCTCAGTTAATAATTGAGCCTACAGAACTCTGCAAAGTAACATTAACAGGTTCTACTGTAGATAGTGTGGCAGACCGGCACTAAACAGTCACATATGATATCACACGCTTAGGTAGGTCCCCTGGCCTCCACTGAGTCTATGTGGTTAGCTCACCAATAAAATCAATAGGAAGGAACTTAAAGTCTGTGTGATGTTTTCTGTATCCCTTGTCACCTCACTACTTGCCCTCTCCCTCCCCCTTGGTCTTGTCCCGGGGCATACGGCCCATGTTGTAGAACTCTGCGTTGGGTCTCATGTCGGTCAGGTGGGCCAGCCGGTTGGACATGGCGAAGAAAGCAGCGATGGCGGCGATGTCCCAGGCGTCCTCACGGTCAAAGCCCACTTCCTCCAGGGACAGAAAGTGCTGGTCGGTGATGGTGTCGCTGCGACAAACGGCCAGGGCGAAGTCCAGCATGACCCGCTCCCGAGGGGACAGCTCTGCATTCTCATAGTTTACTATCACCTGGGGATGAGGGCCAGGGGGAGAAAGAGTTCAAATAGAAACACATTTAGAAGGGAGGTGACAGTGGGTGAGTTGAGGTTTGCACCTTTTATACTTATGTGGTTGATGACTAGCACATTTAAAAATCAGGCTAGATAGATCACTCAGATTGTATCAACTGCTTGACAAACAACTCACACCTCCACAAGATTAGTGTGTAAGATCATACTGGCATACAGTATGACAGTTTTACAGTGCACACCAGTGGACCTGAGAGAACAGATCAGGAGAGAAATAAACGAGATAAGAATGTACCTGGTCAGCCAGTGTGGGTTTCTTGGAGTAGATGCGGTGCAGTGCACTGTGGGACACGACACAGTAGAGACACTGGTTGTGGATACTGGTGGCGACCACAATCAGCTCCCTGTCAGCCTTCGTCAGTCCCCCTGACATGACAGAGCAACACGGACATACACTCTTTGAAATTCACTGCTCGACTGAGGGACCTTACAGATAATTGTATGTGTGGGGTACAGAGATGAGGTAGTTATACAAAATTCATGTTAAACACTTATTGCACACAGAGTGAGTCCATACAACTTATGTGACTTGTTAAGCAAATCTTTACTCCCAAACGTATTTATGCTTGCCATAACAAAGGGGTTGAAAACTTATTGACTGAAGACATTTCCGTTTTTCATTTTGTGAAAAAGGGTGTGAATACTTTCTGAAGGCACTGTTTCTCTCTCTCTCTAACACACATACACTCACACCTGTCTCCTTGTTCATCAATTCGTTGTAATAGGAAAAGAAAGCGCGGAACTCTGCTGGACGATGTGCCAGGACCTTGAAGACATTGGGAAGGAATCCTCCCTGTTAAGGAGCAGAACACACTGATATTACCATGTACATAGAGATCCATTTCCCCCCACAGTTGTGTTGTTTCATAGCAGGAACATTAGAGGTTACATAGATCTGAAAATATTCTGCATCCTACCTTGGTCTCCACCTCCTCCATTAGTTCCACCATGTCGAATGGCAGGTCTTTCTTGTTTGGAACCGGGTATCGGCTAATGTTCTCCGGGGGAGCATCGCTGGAGAACTGTCTACTGGTCGCCGCGGCCCCCACGGCTATAGGTGCCATCTGCTGCCACAACGCGCTCCCCACATATCGAAGAGACGCCTGCATGTACACGAAAGAAAGTCAACTCCACTGCAGAGAGACAGGTGATCTTAGCTAGAAAGACAAAGCAAGTGGTTTATGCCGTGGCAAGATGCACAAATAATAAAGGAACAGTGCAATGAACACGTTTGGATTCGACTACTTACAAGGTTACAGGGACGAATTAATTTCCAAACACCTCCAGACGCCATGTCAAGTCACAGCAAAATACACTTACTTCCTCTTTTGAAAAAAGTAATCAGGGAGGTCTTGGTGAGGTTGAAAATCCAATCATCGTCTAGTATTCATGTCACTCCCATTAGGCACGCCTCCTTGATTCATCCCACCCAATGCAGTCCCACTCCTCGCCAGCGCAGGCGGGCTTGTGAACGACTCCGGAAACGACATCACCCTTCTGTTTATATCGTAAGAGTCGCTAACCCTTGTTGCATGGAATCTTATTTTTTAGACACATTTATAAAACTAGAAAAATAGCTACCTCACAATTGTTTGATGGCAATGGGCGGTCATGGGGTGATGGCGAACGAGGAATCTTTGGATTACTCCGTCCACGAGGCGTGGAACGAGGCCACCAACGTCTATTTGCTCGTCATTCTGGTTAGCTTCGGACTGCTGATGTACGCTAGAAAGTAAGAGAGGTTCCTTTGCATTTTGTTCCCAACAAATGCCCGACTGTTTATAAATATTTGCATCATCAACAACTAAATGTGTGCCTTACTAGCTTTGCTTTTAAAAAGCTTCCATCCAGCTAATGCATGAATTACATACGGTTTGGTCTCATTCTCTCTTTCCTATAAAGCCCAACAGTGGAGGTGTCAAAATACCCATAAAACCTAGCGGTCAAACAGGCAAATGGTTCCAATCGTTTTTCCACCATAAATTTTTCCCATAGGGAATTTTAGAAACACTTAAAATAAGGGCTGTGTTTTGTGTAGGCTTACCCCGGCAGGACATTTTGATAACCATGTAAATCTCTCTCTGATAAGGTGCCTTTTATCAGTATATTCGGCACTATTTACTCTCAGATTCGAAAATGCTAATTAGCATCAAGGTAGACATCATGCAAGACTACAAGTCCCTGCACGTCATCTCTAGCTGACACCTTTGCTAACAGGTATTGTGTAAATTTTAAACTTGCACAAGACAGTTCACAGAATTGTCAATTTAAAGAAATTTAGCCAATTTATTTATTTTAAATTTAGCTAACATTAGATCGTTAATCCAGAGATTCAATGCCATACAACACTCCTTCCGTAGCCTCCAACTGCTCTTAAACGCTAGTAAAACTCGTCCAGATCATCATGAAATGTGTAGTTCTTTATGATAGCCACATTAGCAGCTAATTAGTATTTCATTTTTGGGGGGTAAATACAGGCAAATATATAGAGAGATTTACATGGTTATCAAAACACCACACCAGGGTAAGCCTCCATGAAACACAGCCCTTATTTTAAGTGTTTCTAAAATCCCCTATGGGAAAAATGAATGGTGGAAAAACGATTGGAATCATTTCCTTGTTTGACCCCTAGGTTTTATGGGTATTATGACTCATACTGTGGTCCTCTATTCTCCCCATCAGAAATAAGAGGAAGATCATGAGGATATTCGCTCTGCCGCCTACCGCTGGAGCCACTACCGAACCCAACTTCTACGACAGTCTGCAGAAAGTGAGACTGCGTCAGCAGCTGGAGATGTACTCCTTTGGTGAGTTTGTCAGTCTCAGTTCTGTTGCAGAATGATGCATCAATGTTAGGCTCACCTATGATATGATCAGGAATGGGCAAAAATTACAAACTACAAAATAGCATAAAGGTCAATGTATCAAAATAAACTACAAAATACTTGTATTTTGAAATGTATTTAATTAAAATATTTAGAATTTTGAAATACATTTGCAAGTAGCCAGCATGAACAGCAACAACATTCTCAGTAATTGTACAGAAACGTTTTACTTGTTTTGACTGTGATATGTTGTTGTTTATCTACCTTAGTTGAATGCCCTGACTGTAAGTCACTCTGGATAAGAGTGTCTGCTAAATTACCTAAATGTCTGTTTGAAAATCAGAGAAGGGTAATATTTCTGTTTCATGTATTTGAAATATGTATTTCAATTACTTCTGAGTATTTTGTAATTTCTATTACACTGGGCTGAACTACACTCCAATGTATTTCATAAGAAGATACTTTCAAGAGCTGTAATGTGTATTTTCAAAAGACAAACTACTTTTCTATACCATTTTGTGGCCCGCTGTCACCCTGCATTGGTATCAGATGACTAATAACACTATGGTCTGATAAGAGCGTCTGCTAAATGAACTAAATATAAATGTGTATATCTCTGCAAAGCATGCAGAGTGTTATTCTAATGAGCTCCGCCCCGAAACAAGGTTTTGTCTATAAGGGATACAGCTTGTGTCAAAATAGAGCAGGTTTAGGAGAATTAGGCTAAGCTGTATGTATCCCGTCTAGACATGACCCCGAAACAAGGCCAGTTCATTTTGGCATGTTCATTTTCACATACAGTGCATTTGGAAAGTATTCAGATCCCTTGACTTTTTGCTGCCACCACCATGCTTCACCGTAGGGATGGTGCCAGGTTTCCTCCAGACGTGACGCTTGGCATTCATCTTGGTTTCATCAGACCAGAGAATCTTGTTTCTCATGGTTCAAGAGTCTTTAGGTGCCTTTTGGCAAAATCCAAGCGGGCTGTCATGTGCCTTTTACTGAGGAGTGGCTTCCGTCTGGCCGCTCTACCATAAAGGCCTGACTGGTGGAGTGCTGCAGAGATGGTTGTCCTTCTGGAAGGTTCTCCCATCTCCACAGAGGAACTCTGGAGTTCTTTCAGAGTGACCATCTGGTTCTTGGTCACCTCCCTGACCAAGGCCCTTCTCCCCCGATTGCTCAGTTTGGCCGGGCAGCCAGCTCTAGGAAGAGTCTTGGGGGTTCTTAACTTCTTCCATTTAAGAATGATGGAGGCCATTGTGTTTTTGGGGACCTTCAATGCTGCAGAAATGTTTTGGTTCCCTTCCCCAGATCTGTGCCTCGACACAATCATATCTCTGAGCTCTACGGACAATTCCTTCGACCTCATGGCTTGGTTTTTGCTCTGACATGCACTGTCAACTGTGGGACCTTATATAGACAGGTGTGTGCCTTTCCAAATCATGTCCAATCAGTTGAATTTACCACAGGTGGACTCCAATCAAGTTGTAGGAACATCTCAAGGATGATCAATGGAAACAGGATGCACCTGAACTCAATTTCGAGTCTAATAGCAAAGGGTCTGAATACTTATGTAAATAAGGTATTTCTGTATTCTGTACAACAATTCTAAAAACCTGTTTTCGCTCGCTTTGTAATTATGGGTTAATGTGTGTAGATTGATGAGGAAAAATGTTTATTTAATCAATTTTAGAATAAGGCTGTAACGTAACAAAGTGGAAGAAGTCAAGGGGTCTGAATACTTTCTGAATGCACTGTATACAGTCAGTGCGTTCAACTAACGTAGATAAACAACAACATATCACAGTCATAGCAAGTAAAACGTTTCTGTGACCGTTACTGAGAATGTTGTTGCTGTTCGGGCCAGCTACTTGCAAAAATGTATTTCTGTATTTTAAAATACAAAATACATGTATTTTAATTTATATTTTGTAGTTTATTTTGATACATTGATCTTTATGGTATTTAGTAATTGTATTTAGTCATTCTTGACCGTCCTTGGTGAAAAATTAACATACCAAAAGGAACTGCAAAGCACACTGGGTATTATTATTATTGGCCTTGTTTTGGGGTCATGTCTAGATGGGATAATTCTACTAACCTGCTACATTAATTCTCCTAACCTGCTGTGTAAGTTTTTCTAAACCTGCTATGAAAAGCTGTATCCCTTCTAGACATAACCTTGTTTCGAGGCGGAGCTCATTAGAATAATACTCTGCGTGCAATTGTACATTTTTACATACACATTTATATTTATAGTGCCATCAGACTTCTGATACCAATGCAGAGTGAAAGAGGGCCACAAAATGGCGAACCGCTATAAAAAATGGTATAGAAAATATTTTGTATTTTGAAAATACAAATTACAGCTCTTGAAAGTATCTTGCTACAAAATACATTGGAGTGTAGTTCAGCCCAGTGTAATACAAAATACTCAGAAGTAATTGAAATACGTGTAGCAGAAATACTGCCTATCTTTGGATATGATAGTCTGTGGTCAAATACATATTGACATTTAAATATTTCTGTCCATGACTAGGAACTGACCTCAAATCTGTTAATCACTCGAGTCAAATATATTTCTGGTTTAGCAAATAGCTCTGTCATTCACTAATAAACTCTAGCTCGCACAACTGTTCTAAAATATCTAAATCAATCCCAATGTTAAAATGTGTATAATTTTGACTCCTTTATTCCTTTTTAACAGCGAGGAAGTTTGACCAGCAGCAGCACCAATGCCAGAGTGAAAGTGTTCAGCTCTCTATGGAATGAGACCACGACAATAGTGTAGCATGACCCTGCATCATGCCTGCCTGCTCCACCCAGTCTCTCCACCCTTAAGCCTCTTTGGCTTTGGTAAGTCTGATCATTACAACACTCCTGAAGAGGGCATGTGTATTACGGAGGAAGAACTAGAGGGTCAATGAAGGTTTCTGTGATTAAGACTGTCGTCACGTCAAATCGGCTGTGTTTGCACAATTATTGCTGTAGGATTGAAACAAGGACAAAGATGGATCTGTTTATGAAGATTTACGAAACTGGATGTTACCTTTTCATTTCTGTTATTTTTTTGCATTTATTTAGCCTTTTAATGTATTTTTTCTTTTAAGCCCCTTGTTTTTTTGTGTGTGGATGTGTCGCCACATAGTGGTTATAGGAGGACCTACATCCAGTGTATATGGTGAATTCTGTACAGCACCTATTCAAATTCTAGTCTTAAACTCTAAATAACATGTATTTGTACCATACAATTATGGTACAACAAGAACCATTTAATCAAGCATATCTATGTAAATGTTTGGTTGTCAAGAACTGATTTGTTTCCCAGTTTTTGATCCTCCTATAAATTCCTTTTTAATGGCATTACAACAGACCTGGGAAAGTGTTGCTGATCCTTTGCTACAAGGACCTTTGTGGTCCAAACGGAGAGTCGCTCTCTTTCATGTTGAGAGGGTCAAAGTTGACTTTTCCCCACTCCAATTGCTGTTTCTGAAAAGGAAATGCATTTATATTATTACTCTGATTCAAAATAAAGAAAACAAGGTCAAATATTTTATGTTTTGCTTGATTTCACCGCCTCCTTTCCTCCGGCCCTTCTCGCTTCACTTCTTTTGTAATAATAATTCATGTAATTTCCCTCCAATGTCACAATTTTCAGAGCAGAAAGTTAGCTCTGGTGTGTGTGTGCTTTGTAGACTTTAGCACGATGGGGTGGGTGTTCGGGAGGCAGTGATTGAGGAAGGTGACATTTTGCATCAGGGGCCTAACAGAAAAGTTGGGCCTCTAATCCATCAAAGAAATAAATAAAACATTAGTTAGAGGAAAGCTGTGGCCCAGAAACACAACACCAAGAGGCCAAACAAATGTAAGTGGACATCCTTTGGAGGTAGTGTAATGGAAAAATGATTACTCCTCGCGGGGGAGAAATGGCACACTGATTAAACGCATCAATACATCAGCGGCCGGAGTGCAGCGCAGGGCCAGATCTTTACCCATTCTAAATAGGGCTGTGTGTGCAGGTGTGTGTGGTGTATTGAATCTTTGCTTATTCAGTTTTGTCGTGTGCATACCCCTTTGATACTCTATTGGCCCACTGTAATTAAAAAGATGCAGACTGAAGGGAAATGGTTAGAGATTAAGAATATCCCAATCTTCATTTAAATTCTTGAGCCTGTACTGTGATTTATATATACAGTATATCTATATCAACATCGCTGCCCATTGAAATGAGAATATGTGAGTTGACTGTCATTGGGCAAATATAGGAGCATGGTAAAAAATAAATAGTCTTGCAGTTAAATCCATGTCACCGCCTCACCATTATCAACAGAGAGATAAGCCATGCCCAAGAGTCATCTGCTGTATTATAGCGAGTTATAAGGTACCACTCTAAATGCCTCCTAGCCTATATTATTAGGCTAGTACCAAAACAAGATTGTCATGTGAACCAGTGTGTTAACGAGATAATGAGCCATGTGCTTTGCCAATTAATCTGCTGATGTAATCAATCAGTTGCTCATTACCAGAGGTTTAATATTTAACCAGTACTATCCCATTGAGACACATGATTCATGTCAAACATTAATCAATATCTGGAGTTAATTGCTTAGTCACCAAATGGACTAATGAGGTCGTTAGTGGGAGAGGTCGAAATGAACCACTCATAGAATCTTCACTTCATTCTGAGAATGAGAGTAGAAGGGTGGCTTTGGGTCAATACCAGTGTTCCATCCACACTGTTCACCTTATTAATACATTCACTACCTGTTTCTCCTCTGAAGAGAAATGGATAGGGTTTGTATCCTTGAAATTCAGCAGAGTATGATAGAGTTATAGAACAGAGATAGTGTGTAACTTTTTGTCAATACACTTGGGAGGGTAGCATGTCACCTAAAAATACTGTGTGTGTGTGAGCGCACGCGCTGGGCGTTATTTGTGGCTAGCTAGGGGGTGGAAAGAATTAGGCACAGCTCGGTAGTTTTTAATATTGTTTCATAAGGTGTAATTAAAAAGAGTTTATCACTGAGTTTGGGATAACACAGCGGCTCAATCTCCCAGTAATGAACCGTCTCCAACCATGCAGAAAGCTATTAATAAACACCAGTCTGAAACCAAGGGAGAGAGGGTGAGAGATAGAAAGTGAGCGAGAGATGGAGAGAGAAGAAGAGAAAATGAGAGAGCGGAATTAAGGGATAGAGAGGGTTGGGGTGAGAAGAAGGGAAAGAGAGGGGAGGAGGAGAGAATAGAGAAAACACGGCTGATTAAATTAATGTAATCTCACAGTGAGAAAGAGAGGAGCCAGTGTGGTTATACATCACCTGAAGAGGCTAATGAAATATAATATCTGTTTCTGTTAGCCAAAGAGCACAGAGAGGGATGAATTCTCTCTGTTTCTCGCCTTATACTTTTGCCCTCAGAACTTCCTCAATTAGTCTCACCTACTACCATACCCCGTTCAAAGGGACTTACATTTTGTGTCTTGCCCATTCACCCTCTGAATGGCACACATACACAATCCATGCCTCAATTGTCTCAAGGCTTAAAGATCCTTCTTTAACCTGTCTCCTCCCCTTCATCTACACTGATTGAAGTGGATTTAACAAGTGACATCAATAAGGGATCATAGCTTTCACCTGGATTCACCTGGTCAGTCTATGTCATGGAAAGAGCAGGTGTCCTTAATGTTTTGTGTACTCCGTGTATGTGGAGATGTTATAAACCAAGAGGACTGGACAGCAGGGTTTGTCCTATTTTAATCTCACCTGAGAAACGACATCTCATTTTCATCTTATTTACACAGAAAGAGGGGGAGGGAGAGACAGAAGAGGAGGAAAAAAAAGTAGAATAGAAGAATAGTTTATTGTCCAACTCTCTTTATGAAGATAAAAAATCTGCTTCAGGCTATCATGGTATTGCAGGACATCAACGTATTATACACAAGCTCATATTCTTATTTAACCTTTACAGCAGTCACCATGAAAAATAAGACAAAAGTAAAAAGCTTCATAATTTAGTTTTTATATTAAAAAGTCGGGAACGAATGCAGATGACCAAATAACTCTGGGTGTTTTGGCTGTATTAGTATGCAACATTCTCTCTCTCTCGATGAGCTGTGTTTGTTCTGGCTTTGTTCTGAAAGCAGGAAGTGGGCCAGAGCCCAGGGCAATCTCTCTCTCTACCCGCTCTACGTCCGAGAGCCAGTTCAGAGAAAATTACTTTCTTTATTCGTCCCTTTCAAACTGAAAGGGACTTTCAAGACAATCTGACTCCCAGGGGCATGCATTTAAGACATTATGTTTCTAGTTTCCAAGGACTTGTAATATAGTAGTAATATAGCAGTACTGAATAATCTACTACTGATGATCTACTACTTATAACCATTTCTATGCAATAATAGGAGTAAGGAAGTAATAGAAGTAATACGCAGAAACTAATGCCACACAAGCCTGCACCCACCCACTCACTCACACACACACACCAGCCGTGGTGAAACGATGCCCCACTCTTCAACACAAGAGGGACCATCGTCTCCTTTCTCTTCTTTATTAAGGTGATTTATAATGCAATAGTGCCTTAACTTCAGCCCCTTAAAATGTCTCCCAGATTAACTGGACATTGTTCGTCTTCTCCGCTCCTCTCTTCATTAGCCAGATAAAAACAGACAAGCCAATCACACAACCTCGTTAGCCGCGGCCTTTGACAGGAAGGAGCTAGGTGTTTTATGGCCAGTGTGCACCATATGATGGGTGGTACATGTTATGGTTATTATGCTCTTTGTAAATTCAGCAGAGTATGATAGAGTTATAGAACAGAGATAGTGTGTAACCTTTTGTCAATACACTTGGGAGGGTAGACTATGTATTGTCTATCAATTAGCTTTATTGAAGAGAGGTGAGCTACACTGATGAGAGTGTTCGTCTTCTTCCATAGCTGAGTAGGGTATTATCCTATCAAATGTGTTATAAGAGCATGTTCAAGGTTATGTTGCGGTTATACAGTGGGGAAAAAAAGTATTTAGTCAGCCACCAATTGTGCAAGTTCTCCCACTTAAAAAGATGAGAGAGGCCTGTAATTTCATCATAGGTACACGTCAACTATGACAGACAAATTGAGAATTTTTTTCTCCAGAAAATCACATTGTAGGATTTTTTATGAATTTATTTGCAAATTATGGTGGAAAATAAGTATTTGGTCACCTACAAACAAGCAAGATTTCTGGCTCTCACAGACCTGTAACTTCTTCTTTAAGAGGCTCCTCTGTCCTCCACTCGTTACCTGTATTAATGGCACCTGTTTGAACTTGTTATCAGTATAAAAGACACCTGTCCACAACCTCAAACAGTCACACTCCAAACTCCACTATGGCCAAGACCAAAGAGCTGTCAAAGGACACCAGAAACAAAATTGTAGACCTGCACCAGGCTGGGAAGACTGAATCTGCAATAGGTAAGCAGCTTGGTTTGAAGAAATCAACTGTGGGAGCAATTATTAGGAAATGGAAGACATACAAGACCAATGATAATTTCCCTCGATCTGGGGCTCCACGCAAGATCTCACCCCGTGGGGTCAAAATGATCAACTGTGAGCAAAAATCCCAGAACCACACGGGGGGACCTAGTGAATGACCTGCAGAGAGCTGGGACCAAAGTAACAAAGCCTACCATCAGTAACACACTACGCCGCCAGGGACTCAAATCCTGCAGTGCCAGACGTGTCACCCTGCTTAAGCCAGTACATGTCCAGGCCCGTCTGAAGTTTGCTAGAGTGCATTTGGATGATCCAGAAGAGGATTGGGAGAATGTCATATGGTCAGATGAAACCAAAATATAACTTTTTGGTAAAAACTCAACTCGTCGTGTTTGGAGGACAAAGAATGCTGAGTTGCATCCAAAGAACACCATACCTACTGTGAAGCATGGGGGTGGAAACATCATGCTTTGGGGCTGTTTTTCTGCAAAGGGACCAGGACGACTGATCCGTCTAAAGGAAAGAATGAATGGGGCCATGTATCGTGAGATTTTGAGTGAAAACCTCCTTCCATCAGCAAGGGCATTGAAAATGAAACGTGGCTGGGTCTTTCAGCATGACAATGATCCCAAACACACCGCCCGGGCAATGAAGGAGTGTCTTCGTAAGAAGCATTTCAAGGTCCTGGAGTGGCCTAGCCAGTCTCCAGATCTCAACCCCATAGAAAATCTTTGGAGGGAGTTGAAAGTCCGTGTTGCCCAGCGACAGCCCCAAAACATCACTGCTCTAGAGGAGAACTGCATGGAGGAATGGGCCAAAATACCAGCAACAGTGTGTGAAAACCTTGTGAAGACTTACAGATAACGTTTGACCTGTGTCATTGCCAACAAAGGGTATATAACAAATTATTGAGAAACTTTTGTTATTGACCAAATACTTATTTTCCACCATAATTTGCAAATAAATTCATTAAAATCCTACAATGTGATTTTCTGGAAAAAAAAATCTAATTTTGTCTGTCATAGTTGATGTGTACCTATGATGAAAATTACAGGCCTCTCTCATCTTTTTAAGTGGGAGAACTTGCAC